GTGCACATATTTTCCTTTTCAGGATTTATATTGCTCTCAAGATCAAATCTAAACATATGTCAGATTTTCAAGATCCTTCATAGCAGTTATGCAGATAAATCCTAAGTAAATTTGTTCCATATTCATAAGTGTGATAATCTTTGTGTTTAACTTTAGGTTAATTCAATAAACATTTATTAAAATATTACTGTTGCCATCATTGTAATTTTTGCCTCTATTTCTGTAATGCTAGTCTTCCAGCTTGGATGGCTAAAAATAATCTTTATTCATTATTTAAGGCTTATTCATGAAGCCCTGGTAGTGTATTTCATTCTACTGGGAACCCACCCTAACAACCATGTACATTTAGAGCTTTTTCTCCCCTTTCTCTGAATTACATAACAACTCATTATTTACTTTCCTAAATGAGCTTAAATTGTATCATGAATATGAAGTTATCATAAATTTATTGTCACTGTTTATATCATTTTAATATTTAATTTTAATATTATTTTAATTCAGTGTGTCTAGGTCACTTCAGGAAAATTTACTACTCTGAGAAAAATAAGTGGAAACTCATATCCTTGAATCAGTTTCTCTGAAACTACTAAAAGATGCAAAGTTTCACTCAAATCTTAAAAGTCACTCAGAATATCTTCCTGAAAGTTTTCTAAGTCTCATGTTGCTGATGAATGCATTTCCTTGTTTACTTTTTCAGTTTATCAAACAAGAATAAAACAGTAATTAATGAAGAAGCAAGAGAAGAAGTTTAAAATTATATAACATGGTAGTTTAATGAATGCCATTTAATGTAACTGGTTTCTGTATTGACTTATGAAATCAATTAATATACCTTTTGAAAAGCCTTGTACTAATCAGGTATATCATTTTTATTTCATTATATATAGTCATTGTGGTTATTTCTACAGCACAGTGTGATTTAGTTAACTAGCTGGGAGTGTAACACCTTCAGATCAGGTTTGGCATACCTCATTTCTAATTATCATTCCTTTCCATGAATGTAACCCACCATTAAATTAAAAAAAAAAAAAGGCTACATTTTATTTTGCCTTTCTTGGCACAGCTGAAATTTTCTGTAGACTTTATATAAGTTTTCAAGATATCTACTGGGTGCTGGGAACCAGAAATCCTGATAAGGTACCTGACTCCATTGACATCACATAAATTTGTCAAAGATGTGTAATCTGGTCTCCCAGATCCTGATGCATTGCATTATCTGTCATATAAGAGGGACTGTCATTTGTTCTACCTTTTATGTGCTAGAATCTTCCATTGACTGAGTGACTTCAATTACTTTTTAGAAACAAAACCCTTTATTTATCTGGTCAAGAGTTTTTGTTCATTTCCAAAGTCTCAAGTAATTTGTTACAGGAGACTATCAGACAAATTAAAAATAAATTCTTTAGATATACTGATTATTTTTTTACAAAGAATACCATGTAGTATAATAATGTTTCTTTATTTTAAAAAATTCCTTTCTAGTTAAAAAAAAAAAATAGTGCTAGACTGCTCCAGACATATGTTTTTAAAAGTTATTTTGTAAAATAAGTTTATAAAATGGACATTTTCATTTCTTTATCTCAATGTCCATACACTATCACATCACTCATTATTGTATATAAATGCATTCATTAATAATTGTGGATGTGACTGAAAGTTTTTCACATGTTCTATTTTATAGAGAATATGCACAAGATACAGGTGAGGCTATTCTAACTAGCTTCTCGCTTCTCCTGCCACATCATACCATTTATAAGGAAAGGATCACATGAGGCCATTAGAGTGATTGAAATTGTTCTTCCTAAAGAAAATCTGATTGAAGTATATTTCACTGGTAGCTTAAAGAACGTCATCATCTTGTATAAATTGAACATGGCCCAGTATTTTGTTCTAACATCTTATTGGATTAAATAATATATTATCCATGACCTTCTTCATGTTCTAACATACTTGCAATGTATCCAGTATATTATCCTAGCTGTTGTTGCCATGTGTCTATTCCCAGGGCATTTCTTTCCTTCTCATTTCTTGACAATTTTTGTTCCTTGGTGAGAGAGAATAGCTCTCAACCACATTGACTGGTCTGATTTTAAATTTATGACTTGGTGGGTCATTAATGCCACTCTGTAGTCACACTATATTCTGTAGTCCGTTCCCTCTTCTACCCTCCTAGCTGACTACTTAACCGCCTTTCCTCATACCGCTAACGTGTCTTCCATAATCCAAGGTCTTCTCAGTTGAAGACCTTGCCTCCCATTTCACTGAGAAAGTGGCTTTATTCAGAGGAGAACATCCATAGCCCCTCCACCACATCTGTACTTCCACCAGCACCTGCACCTTGTACCTAGCCTTCTGGCTTGGTAGTACAATGATCTTTTGAAGATCCTTATTCCCTGTGCTCTAATTATTTTTTGCACTAGATCCTGTCTTTTATTTCCTGCTCAAAGGCCTTCCTCCAGAAATCCCTTGTTTCCCCATCCCACCTCCCACCATCTCTTGCATCACTGATTTTTACTCTTTACTGGAGCATTTCATTAGCACACAGACCTGCTGTTATTTCTCTCACCTTAAAACAAAACAAAAAATACAACTTCTCTTGACCCAGCTTTACCCACAGCTACTGCTCTATTTTTCTGCTTCTCATTGTAGTCAGATTACTCAAAAAGAGTTACCTATACCTGCAGATAACTTTCAGTATCTGAGGTTAATAAATACTTGGTGTGGGAGGATCCCTGAGACAGTTTGAGGCTGTGAAACAAATCCAGTGTTTAGAAGAAAATGATAGATAATTCTACTTAATGAGTACACAGACTAATTATTGTAATGAAATATGTTTAATTAAAAAGAAGTCTGCTTTCTAATAATTATACTGACTGTACACCAGTTTGGAAAACCACAAAGATTGATAAAGACAATACACATAAAGGTTGCAGGGGAAGTTTACACAAGGAGGATAAATAAGTGTGTTTATAACTGTCGTTTAAAGTTAGCATTCTATATAGCACTCCTAGGCTCTTTTAATATACTTTGTCCTCTCAAACCCTATTAAACCCCTCCCAAGAAAGCTTTTGCTCTCACCACTCCACTAAAACTACACTGTGAAGTCATCAATTACCTGTATATTACTAAATCCGATGAATGCTTAATCCTCATGTTACTTGGCCTTGCAGTAGGGTATGACACTCTTGAGGACACCCTTCTTCTTGATACCCTGTCTTAACTTGCCTCTCAGGATGTCCCTTCTTTTAGACTTCCTTTGCTAGCCCCTCTTGTACTAGATCTCCTAACTATTCATCCAGTCTCCCTGGATGACTTGGATTTAATTGTCATCTCTACACTACAACACCCAGTTGACAGCTCTGGCCTAGACCTCCCTACTCAGTATTCCACTTGAATATCCAAGTCCCTCAAACTTAACTTGCCTTTTCAGTTTTTTACCTAAAATTTAGTGTAGCTGTACCCTCCCCTATCTCAGCTCTGTCCTTCAGGTTGGTGAGCTGAAAAATCTTAGAATCATCCTCTTTTTCCCCCTCTTTCTCCCACATCCCATATTCAGTCCATCTAGAAGTCCTTTTGGCTCAAAATATCCAGCGCTGACGATTTCTCCTCATCACTGATAGTGGCTGGTACCAGGACTGTCTGGTCCTGGCCACCATCACCTCCCACTGGAATTGCTCCAATAGTTCTAACTGGCCTCCCTGCTTCCACCCTGCCTTCCAGCCTTAAAGTCTGTTCTTAAACAAAGAAAAGCCTGAAAAATCCTTTTCTAACATAAATGAGACCATATTATTACTTCAATAATAACCCTCAACAGCTTACACTCTTATTCAGGAAAAACCACTGAAGGCTTTTTAATGCCTTCAAGGTGTTGTGGTTAGTTTCTCCCTTTCTTGTTTCATTTCTGCCCTTTCAGTTTCTTGAACCTGATATAGGACTTTTGCATTGCTGGGTCCCCCTGCCTGGGACATGCTTCCTCAGGATATCCATCTTGAGGACTTCCTCAAAGGACATTTTCTCAGAGAGGCTTACCCTGAAAACCCCAAACCCCTACTTCTCAATTTCCAGGGAACTGTGATTTCCCCTTATCCTGCTCTAATTTTTTCCCAAAAAACATCATCTTATAGCTTATCACATAATTTACCTCTTCTCTGTATTGCTTGTGGTTTCTTCCCCCACTTTGTAAGCTTCACAAAGGGCAGGGATTCTGTCCTTCTCATCTGGCATATAGTCAGTCAAATGATTTCCCTTTCTTTCAGCATCATTTCACTCCTGCTGCTTCTCAAAGGGAATAATGGTTCTGTTTCCAACAGTTAACTTGGACTCTCTCCATTTTAGGGGCCTGTTCCTTAGGATATTTCTCTCTGCATTTACCTTTTTAATCATATCTTTTTGTCCATTTTGTTTTCTTTTACTTGTTCTGTCTGCTAAGCTAATTTTAAGCATATGTATTTAATTTTCTGGTCTTCAAGTCTTCTTATCCCCTTTCTTATCTTTGGTCCTTTCTTAGCTATATTTCTATTTCTAGAAGATTTTTTTTCTCTGTCCTAGTTCTCCAATACTTTTATTCTTAACTAGTTACAGAAATCTTGCTTTTCCCTTGAAATATTTCCCATGAAAACTGTAGCACCAATTTCTACCCTCTATCTGTCCCTCTAATGTCCCCTCCATTCACCCTACAGGCAACCTAGATTGCCATGATTTGGATCTGCCCTTCACTCAACATTCTACTGAAATGAAGATTCCCTCTGACTTAAAGCTAGTATGAAATTACTTAGTGTTACAAATATGTATATAGTTTGTTTATTTTCAATATACTTTTCTATCTTCTATTTTAGAAAACTGCAAAAATATTTGTGTATACATTTATATATCTGTATATATATATATTTATTATGCATTGAACTATTTTCTATTTTGTCCAGTTTTTCCTGAAAGCAAGCAATTTCTAGATCTTTCTCTATTGGGTGTCTAAAATTGTTTCATATTCTTATCTTTAACAGGTCATTGCTTTAGTGATGGATATATTTACAGACGTGGACATTTTCAAAGAAATAGTGGAGGCATCAACTCGAGGGATATCTGTGTACATTCTGCTTGATGAGTCAAACTTCAATCATTTCCTAAGTATGACTGAGAAACAGGGCTGTCAAGTTCAACGTCTCAGAGTAAATATTTCATGCTTTGTTTTGTTTTCTTCAACTATTTTATCTTTATCTCAGTCATTGAATGTAAGGCATGTTAAGTTATATTACTCTAAATGTACACCATATATTTAAGATGCTGACCACAGAAGGGGTCCCTTGTACTCTTCAGACTGTGACTTCACCATCTTCGTGATGGTTTTATAGGATGCTTTTCTTGATGGTGGGGCACTTAAGCTTTTGAGTTAACTTTGCTGCCAGTCATAATTAATTTACAACCTTGAAATGACTGGCATGAGTGATAATCTTTCATTCAGCAGATATTGCTTGTCACAATCATTTAGCATAGTGTTTTCAGTGATGTTTGACTTATTAAAAGACAGGTGGATTTTACTCTTAGTTATTTTGTTATCATGCTACTATAACCTGAAAGGGGCTCTTGCAGTAGGACCCTAAGTGACTTATAGAACCATCCTGTGTAAATGATGTAAGTTATGTTAAAATATATTATTTTAAGTGACCATGTTCCTTCTTTTTTGGGTGGTGTTTTAAAATGTGCTTTTCACTATATTTGTTTTTGTTGTTATATGTTTTAAAAAATGATTTCATGTGTACTTTTTTGGTTACTAAGTTTTTACGATGACATATTTTACTTTTCAAGATATCCCCTTTCTAGCCATAATTTTTACTTTATATTTACATGCAATTCTAGAATATTCGAGTGCGGACAGTAAAAGGCCAAGATTATCTTTCCAAAACAGGAGCAAAATTTCATGGAAAAATGGAACAAAAATTTTTGTTAATTGACTGCCAGAAAGTTATGTATGGTTCCTACAGGTAAGATCATTGTGTTTACCTCCAGTATTATCAATCATTTACAGAATTTATGAGTTTAAAGTTTTAATGTAATCTGTTTAGTTATTTCTTAAAAATAAAAGAAGAACCCTTGCATGAAAAGCTTGGAAACTTGAATTTCAGTTCTGGCTGTGAAGTCATTGTGCAAGTCACACAACTTCCTTGGGCTTCAAGTTCTTCCTCCCCGAAATGAGAGCATTGACTTATATCTCAGGTTTCCTAAAGCTCCATATGCTAAAAGTGTTTTTGTTCCTTATGAAAACAGTATGAATCATAATAATTGTTCATAAAAATAGAAGCTATCACATTGAAGAACCTGCCTAATGGATTGCTCTTATTTTAGTATTATTGAGACTCTAATGATTATCATGTTGTCATCATAGGACTACTGAAAAATCATTGAAGAGTCTGGCTGTAAAAATGCCATGGTAGACACTAGGCAAGGTTTTTCAGCCCCAGATCTACTCTCTGGCATCTTTCTAGGGTACCACTGCTGGAATATATCTACTTCTATTCTAGCTTGGCTCTTATGTTTCACTCACAGTCCTTAAAACTTCTCTGCAAGGCAGTTGTTTTTATCTACATTTGATAAATGATGAAATGGAAGTTCTAGAAGGTTCAGTGACTTGCCCAAAACATCACAGTTAAGGGCCAAAAGACAGTTCAGGTCTGGCAACCCAGTCTAGGTCCAGCTGATTCCAGAGTTTAAGTGCTGCCTTCAAACTCCCTTATAAATTCCAGGCATTGGTCCTGAATGGGATAACACAGTAAGGCTACATCAATAGGCAGATAAAAACACCAAAAACATGTGAACTGGAGAGGGGGAAGATGGCGGAAGAGTAAGACTCGGAGATCACCTTCCTCCCCGCAGATACATCAGAAATACATCTACACATGGAACAACTCCTACAGAACACATCCTGAACGCTGGCAGAAGACCTCAGACCTCCCAAAAGGCAAGAAAGTCCCCACGTACCAGGGTAGGGCAAAAGAAAAAAGAATAAACAGAGACAAAAGAACAGGGACAGGACCTACACCAGTGGGAGGGAGCTGTGAAGCAGGAAATGTTTCCACGCACTAGAAGCCCCTTCGCAGAGACTGCGGATGGTGGAGGGGGGAAGCTTCGGAGCCACGGAGGAGGGCACAGTAACAGGGGTGCGGAGGGTAAAGCAGAGAGGTTCCCGCACAGAGGGTCGGTGCCAACCGGCACCCAACGGCCCGAGACTTGTCTGCTCACGCACTGGGGCGGGCGGGGCTGGGAGCTGAGGCTTGGGCTTCCGTTGGAGCGCAGGGAGAGGACTGGCGGCATGAACACAGCCTGAAGGGGTTAGTGCACCACGGCTAGCCGGGAGGGAGTCCGGGAAAATGTCTGGACATGCCAAAGAGGCAAGAGACTTTTACTTCCCTCTTTGTTTCCTGGTGCGCGAGGAGAGGCGATTAAGAACAATGCTTAAAGGAACTCCAGAGACGGGCGCGAGCCATGGCTAACAGTGCGGACCCCAGAGATGGGCATGAGACGCTAAGGCTGCTGCTGCCACCACCAGGAAACCTGTGTGCGAGCACAGGTCACTATCCACACACCCCTTCCGGGGAGGCTGTGCAGCCCGCCACAACCAGGGTCCCGGGATCCAGGTACAACTTACACGGGAGAACGCACGGCGTGCCTCAGGCTGGTGCAACGTCCCACTGGCCTCTGACGCCGCAGGCTCGCCCCGCATCGTACCCCTCCCTCCACCCGGCCTGAGTGAGCCAGAGGCACCGAATCAATGGCTCCTTTAACCCCATCCTGTCTGAGTGAAAAACAGACGCCCGCCGGCGACCTACATGCAGAGGCGAGGCCAAATCCAAAGCTGAAACCCGGGAGCTGTGTGAACAAAGAAGAGAAAGGGAAATCTCTCCCAGCAGCCTCAGAAGCAGCGGATTAAAGCTCCACAATCAACTTGATGTACCCTGCATCTGTGGAATACATGAATAGACAACGAATCATCCCGAATTGAGGAGGTGGACTTTGAGAGCAAGATTTATTATTTTTTCGCCTTTTCCCCTTTTTGTGAGTGTGTATGCATACGCTTCTGTGTGACATTGTGTCTGTATAGCTTTCCTTTCACCATTTATCCTAGAGTTCTATCCATCGGGTTTTTTGTTTGTTTGTTTTCTAATTTTTTAAAAAAGTTTTTCTTAATAATTATTTTTTATTTTACTAACTTTATTTTATCTTACTTTATTTTATTTTATCCTCTAATTTCTTTCTTTCTTTCTTTCTTTCTTTCTTTCTTTCTTTCTTTCTTTCTTTCTTCTTTCTTTCTACTTTTTCTCCCTTTTATTCTGAGCCGTGTGGATGAAAGGCTCTTGGTGCTGCAGCCAGGAGTCAGTGCTGTGCCTCTGAGGTGGGAGAGCCAACTTCAGGACACTGGTCCACAAGAGACCTCCCAGCTCCACGTAATATCAAACAGCAAAAATCTCCCAGAGATCTCCATCTCAATACCAGCACTCAGCTTCACTCAATGACCAGCAAGCTACAGTGCTGGACACCCTATGCCAAA